CCTGCAGCGAGTAGACGAGCTGTACATGAAGTGCGCGGAGTGGGACTTGGAGGTCCAGCTAGTCTGGCACCCCCGCTCGGAACAGCAACAGCAGTATGCAGACACGCTCTCCAAGTTCGAAGACAGCTCGCAGTGGTGTTTGGACGACGCGGTGTTCGCAAGTTTGTGGGCGGAACCATGCCTGCAGGGAAGCAGGCCTACGGTAGATGTGTTTGCGGACGAGTTTTCTACGAAAGTACCAGGACGCTTCTTTGCGCGTTATTGGAGCCCCAACGCCCTAGCGGTGGATGCCTTCACTCAAGACTGGGGAAAGTGGAGTCGCCAGGGCCTGCTGTACCTTAACCCCCCGTTCGACCAGATGGGGCGAGTAGTGCACAAGATTGCCGAGGAGAAGCCGGACTGCGTCTTGATCACACCTGTTTGGCCACGATGGTGGAGAGCTAGACTGGCAACGCTACCCATCAAGGCACGGAGGCGTCTGCCACACAGCCCCACCCTTTTCAGGCCGGGGCCCCAGGTCCCGGGCGGTGCGGAGAGAAAACCGAAGGCCCCGAGTTATGCGGTCGAAGTAGTGTACATTCTGTGGTAAGGGCAAGGCCCGACTAGGCCGAGAGTACGACGGAGCTGATAGAAAGCGAGGACCCAAAGAAGCCAGAGACGTGGCTAGACTGAGACTGGCAGGCGAGCCGCAAGGCGGTGTGGCTGGGTTGTGGTGTGGCCTGATTAAACATTGGGATCGGGTGTAAGGCTGGACGCAAAGGCCCACTTCACGCTAGTCCGGTACGGAGCGACGAGCATTTACATTCAAGCACTCAAGCACTAGTTGTTCCTAGCCGTTCGTCTTCTACGTGTTGAGAGTTTGCGGTTAGTTGGTGGACTGGCGCCGGGAAGTTGTTGCACTATTTATCTTTGGTTAATGGAAAGCCATATTGTGACTCGCTGGAATTGCCGTTAACCGGTACCGGATTGAGCACGTCCTGGCGCGATCTTGTTTAGGAAATTGTGTAATTCAGCATGCGAAACGGCCTAGAGCCTCGTTAGGCACGTCTTGGCGCTATTTGAGCTCCCCGGCTGCTCCAGAAATTTTAGAGTAAACGATGCATGAACAACTGTTTTTTCATAGGTTCGTCTTTGTGCAAGGGCGGATGGACGGCAGTACGCCTTCATAAATAGTTCATCCACAAGGCTTCAAAGGCGATTGGTATGAGGTTGCATAAATTATATGAATTAAATGGCAAGTTATCTTCGCAGGCGCTCGGTTCGGGTTTAGGGACTTGGTCGCCGTAGAGCTGTGCTGTGCTGCGTTCAGATTTCCTTACGATTTTTGGATCCGGTGTGCAATTGCACCTACTGGACACTGGAGTTGCTATCCAAAACTTTGAGAAACGTGGTACACAATGCTCAATAATGTTTGAATTGCAAGAAAGGTACATACAGTACTGGCAATGCGGCGCCACAATCTTACCCTTTCCGCAAGCTCTTCCTTGCAACAAACCTTTTTCAAAACATGTCTGTATTAGGCTTGATTTGTAACCAAGGCTAGCATGTAATGAATAAAGTCGCTTCCTTGATATGTGATGACGACTTCCCCCTTTCAAACGGGGGAACCAGAACCTCAGCGTGAGGGCGGAAAAGCCCGGCATGTAAAGGTGAATTGCGACATGAAGCCTGCTTTGGCACTGCTCATTTGGACGCTGTTGCTTTCGGCGTCCGGAATCAAAGCAAGAGGTGCGATGGCAACGCAATTGCTACGTATGGTCGAGCTACCTAGAATGTATAGCTTGCTTTGAATCCAGCACGCAAAAGCTTGAAATAAATAGTGTATGTAATCTTATACCCGGGAAAGGAGAGGCCTGAGGTAAACGTAAATGTAGTGGCAATTCAAACGGGACTCCCTCTGCGGGATGCGCTGCTGCGTATTGAACATAAGGGTACTGCACTAATCCTCACAATGTATCCACCACATCGCCGCGTAGATGTAAGGAACGGTGCTTGCGGGGCTCCTTACCAAATTTTCCTCCAAGCGTTAGGCTTGTAGGTATCCCTAGCAGACGGTCTGAGTCCATCGCCTGCTTCCGGTCATCTGTGCCGTCCCCACCGCCCAGCAGACGCACCCAGAGTCCCCGGTGACACTAAATCAGGACCTGGTGCCGGTGGCGATGGCAGTCGCGGTGGTGGCGGCGGGTCCAGGGCAGCCGTACCCGGCCGTGCAAGCAGCCGCGATGGCGGCGGCGTCGACGGCGGCAGCAGGGTCAGCGGGCACGGCTGCTGCTGCTGCGGTGGCGGCGGCGGCGGCAGTGGCGGTGGCGGCCACCATGCAGTCAGCAGCTCGAGAAAGCTTCTACGAGGCCGTGAACACGACAGCACCCGCAGCACCAGCAGCGACGTGAGCAGCACCAGCAGCCATGGAAGACAGAGACATCAACAACAACAACAACAACAACCGTTTAAACGCACCGCCCTTAGCGGCGACGGCGGCAGCAGCGGCGGTAGCCGCGGCCGCGTCCTTTCACAGCGGCGCCAAGCCCCATCCTATCCCCAGTACCTCACACAACCGCTCTTCATCCCCCACGCGGCAAGTGAGTCGTGCAGTGAGGCGCCGGAGCTCTTGGAAGCGCATGTCTGACATCCCCTTGTGTGGCAGCTCACCTTTTCGATGTGGCCTCGTCTGATGTGGCCATCAAATCATGTCACATCACATCACACCTAACTTTCAGACGGGCTGCTAGACGCGTGTGTGTGTGTGTAGGGGGACTGTGTGCGGGGGGGCTCCCCGGGTATTGGGGTGGGCGGCTGGGGTGGGGTGAAGGAGCAAAGTTGCTAGCCGGAGCCATCGAATCGAATGTCGGGCCCTAGACGGCTAGGGAGGGTCAGGACACACCTACCTACCTACCTACCTAATGTGGGGCTGCGGGGCGGGTCGCTCACACTCGCCCTCCATATGTGACTCGGGAGCCGCGACCGCCTGAGTTCCCCGTCTGGCTCTTGGGGCCGGTACGGCAATGGGCCAACCCCTCGTTGGGGCGCTTCCCCTCCCTTGCAACCAACCGCAAGGTTCTTCCGTTCTCTTCCGTTCTCGGGGGCCAGGATCCGGATCCGTTCTCTTCCGTTCTCGGGGGCCGGGATCCGGATCCGTTCTCTTCCGTTCGGGGGGGGGTCCGTTAACCAACACGGAAATGGCAGGCTGGTAGAAGAGGGGGTTCCTGAGGGTTGCTTGATTAGGCAGGCCATGTTCAAGGCGTTCCCCTCCTTCCCATCGAATGTGAATACCACCGTCCGGCATCATTTCCGCCTCCACCCTCCTACCTTTCTACCTGCCCTACCCTACCTTTCCCCTTCCTCTCTGTCTGCAAACCACTCGCACAGTCCTCCAAACCAGTAATAAAAATCTGCAAGTAAATGGCCTTGCGATGTACGGCTGCCTGTACGAACGCGCAATCCCTTATGGCTCCGGCCTCTGTCGCCGCCCTCAGGTACGACAGCCTCGTCCACCTCGGTGGCGGGCGCGATGCCGCCGGGCACGAAAACGGAATCTTCTACGACGGCACCCGACACCAACACAAACATCAACACAAACATCGATACTAACACGAACATCGACACCAACACCAGGACGAGCCGTGCGGTGTTGGACGGCACGTCACCGGCGACTGCTCCCAGACCGCCGCCGCCGCTGTTGCCGCCGTCACCGCCGCCGAGGCCAAGGCCGCCGATGCCGTACTACCTGTCAGTGAAGCTGCGCAGTACGGCCACGCTGGATGCAGTACTGGCGGCGGTGACGGGGATCCTGGGTGTGGCGTTACTGTTAATGTTCGCGCTGGTGGTCGTGCGCATTCGTACGACACTGTGGTACAACTATCATTGGCGGTACGCTAATGCTTATCACTTTTCACCGGGGGCCAGCTCCCCAGACTTGGGTTATAGACACGGCGGCAGCGGCGGCGGCGGCCGCGGTGGCGCGGTTACGACGACGGCGCCAAAAAGCGGTGGTGACGGCGGCGTAGACGACGCTTCCAACCCCAACGGCGCGTCCCCATCAGAAAGGCCTCCACCTCCATTTTATGACAGCGCGACCGCCGCCGCTGCGGCAGCAGCTGCAGCTGCAACAGCCGCAAGGACGCCGGAGCTTAGGTCCGTCGACAAGGTGCCCAGCAGCAGTAGCATCCTGGGTGTTGCCGTCGGCATGATGTCCGCCAACCGATCAACCTGTGGCGGCGGCGGCGGCCGTAGCTGCGGCGGCGGCGGCGGGGGCGGTTTGAGCACTGGCGGGCGTACGACAGGTTCATGGGCCGGCGTAAACTTGGACATGTGCCACAATCTACTGTACGACATGTACGACACTGACAACTCGCCTGCCAGCGGCACGGGTGGCGTTCGACCGGCTCTGGAGCGGCACATGGCAGCTTACTCGTGCCACAGCAGCGGTGGCGGCGGCGGCGCCGTGCGCAGTAGCGGCGGCGGCGGCGGCGGCGGCGGTGACTACAGTGGTATTGGCCGTCGAGCGCCGCGTGCCGGCGATGCCAGCATGTACGACATAAGCCCTGTGGTACGACGCCTGACCACTCACATGTCTTCGGTAATGCCGTACAGCTGTTCTACAATGGGAACGGCGGACGCGGAGGCCGGCAGCAGCGCCGCCGCCGCGGCGGCGGCGGTTACCAGCGGCGCTCGCGGTCGCAGCGGCGCTGACGGCGGCAGCGGCCGCACTCACGGAGCCGCAGATTTACACAACCTCTCAGCTCGCCCACATGTCAAACAAGCCAACAGGGCGTTAGGGGTTGAGGGTCTTAAGAAAGGTCATGTCCGTTTCAGCCTAGGGGTCACAGAGCATAATCAGGGCCCTGGTACTTGGGACAATCCGGACAACTCGGGCTCCGGAACCGATTCTGACCTGCGGGATGCCGGCGATACCGGCGACAGCCTGCAAGGTCCGGCCCCATCGGGGCCGCCGGCGCCGGCGGTGCTGCCAGCGGCGCCGTCAGCTGTGACGCCGGCCTGGTGTCCGGCAGATGGCCAGGGGGTGGACGTCGTCGTTACAGTGGCCTGCCGTCACGGCGGCGACGGGCCCGCCGTACCAGCGAAGCGTACGATCCAGGCTACAGCTGCAGGCAGGGCCCAGGGGGCTGGACCTGCCGCGGCGGAGGCGGACTGTACGACGAGTATGAAAAACACAGGTGAAGACGTTGTCGAAGGCAATGGCAGCCCTGAGCGACAGCTTGGGTCGAGCAACGGCGGCGGCGGTGGCGGCGGCGGCAGCGGCGGCAGAAGCAGTGGCGACGATGGCAGATACGAGCCGCTTGGCGGCGGTGCCAGTGAAAGCGGCGGCGGTGGTGATGGCAGAAGTAGTACGGCAGCGTGTATGCTTCATGTATCCGATGCCGCCGATGTGCTGTTGGTGCAGAGGGCCGCGGCAAGGCCCGGCATGGGAACGCCACAACAGCCGGGTCCGGATGGCTCTGTCGCTTTCAGCACCCACAACCTTCCGAGGCCACCCCCGCGGCTGGGTATCAACGGCATCACTGGCAGCGTACCGGTTGGAGCGGCGGCGGCGGCGGTGGCGACACCATCTGGTCGTTCTCCTGCTCAGCGGGCGTCCCTTCGACGGCCGCCGACGGCGCCACTGTCGGCGGCGTGTGGCGAAATTGTACGGCCGGCGGCCCGTTGCTTTACAATCGCCGCCGCCGCCGCCACTGCCGCAGCAGTAACTCCCACCCCGCCTCTACGTGTCGCCATGAAGCCCTCTGGCAGGCTGGCAGCGGCGATACCACATACACACAGACATACACACAGACATCCGGATCCCGGCGCCGGGGTTGCTCCGATTGCCGCTCCAGCTCATTACATTGACAGGTATGACGGCGACGGCGACGATGACGAGTCTGATGATGACGGTGATGATGGCGTTGGTGATGATGGTGTTGGTGATGATGGCGAGTTTGATGATGACGGTGGTGGTGATGCCGGTGGTGGTGATGATGATGGTGATGGCGGCAGCTGCCTGGATGGGAGGTACGACGGCAGGTATGGTTACGCCCTTGGCGATGGCGACGGGACCGCACATGCCGTGACCAGCACTGGGCCGTTGCTGCGGCTGGGGGGGAGCAGTGGGTCCGGGGGTGGATCCCCTGCCGCCGCAGCCGCCGCCGCCGCCACCGCTGCGGCGTCGGTGGCGTCATCTACACCCGGCTCCTCGCCGAGAATCGATGCGGCGGATCGTTCGACCCTTCCGGCTGGCAGCTGCCGTACTGGCGGTGCCGCCGCCGCCGCCCCCGCTGCACCGCCGACAGCGCTGTGGCAGCGGCGGCGGCGGCCGCACGGTTCCGCTAGTACGGCAGCGACTCAGGCGCCCGGCCCGGCCGGGAAGGAGGTGCACGACGGTGATGATGACGACGACGAAAATGTCAGCAAGGCGAATAGCCGCGATGTGTTCGAGCTGGGTCCCCTCATGACCCAGATGCTGTGGACACATCGCCAGAAACAACAGCAGCAGCTGCAAGAACAGCAGCAGGAAGAACAGCAGCAGCGGCACCAGCAGCAGCAGCAGCAGCAGCAACAGAAGATCGTGATGAAAGGCAGCAGCAGCAGCAGCAACAACAACAACAACAACAACAACAACAAAAGCTGCAAGGTGCAGCCAGAGGCCGTCACGTCGTCGAACGGTAGTGGTGGGGGCGGCTCGAGGAGGCTAGCGGGGGTAGCGGAGGGCGCGAAAAGAAACTGGGAGGCGGCGGCGGCGGAGGTGCACGACGACGGCAGTAATGGAACCAGCAACAAAGCCATCCGCAGCGCAATCAGCAAAAGCGAAAATGGCGGTGAAAGTGATGTCGAAAGGGGTGGTCAAAGTGAAAGCGAAAGCAACAATGGTGGAAGTCGAGCGGCAGTAGCTCCGTCACAAGCCGGTAGAGACCTTCCGCTACGGGAGCCGCCGCCGCCACAGCCGCCGCAGCAGCAGCAGCAGCGGCGGCGGCGTCGGCTGCCAAACCCGCCGGTAGGGTCTCCGCTGGGCCTCCGAGACCTGCTGCAGCAGCCGCAGCCACAGCAGCAGCTGCAGCAACAGAAGCCGTGGTCGAAGTTAGTTAGCTCTAGGGGGGAGTTATTGTACAGCGCACAGTAGGTAAATAACTTGAGAGCATCCGTCGAGGTTGAAAGGATCGGGATCTTTACATGGCGATGGAGAGCATGCAGCTCTTGATGCGCCACAGCGGATCGTGTTGGTGCTGGTGCTGGTGTTGGTGTTGGTGTTGGTGTTGGTGGGGAGAGCTGGCGGTTTTTGAGTTATGTTAGCACGACATGTTGCGTTTAGGTGCTGTATGTATGTGTGTCACATTGCTATACGCTACTGACTTCCTATCGGATGGGGATGTGACGTATTGGGGCCAGACAGACAGACTGGTTTCAGCTAGCAGGGGTTCAGGTGCGCGCCATTCGTGTGCGTGCGTGTATGTATGTATGTGTGTATGTATGTACTGACCGCGAGGAGAAAGTGTTGCTGGAGTTGTACGCGTGTGTGTGTGTATATATGTGTGTGTTGGGGGGAGAGAAAAGTTTGCGTCAGTTTGCAAGGTGGGCATGGGCATGGAGCTCGAGATGGCTGCCGTAAATACGTAAACCAATGTGTGTGTGTATATGTGTGTGTGTATGTGTGTGTGCGTGCAAGTGGTATAGTCTCCACGTTAGCTAGTGAGACACGTCCCCCGGGACAGTCGATAAGCCTCAGTACGGCAAACCCTAAGCCTTGGTACGGCAGGCAGAAGGCAAGGGTGTGCCCCGGTGCACGGGCGTGACGACCAGCTGGGGAAGGTCCGTCGGCGAGCGAGGAGGCTACATATCTGGGGCTAGCTGGCGCTCTCAAACCTAACGACCTAGCGCATATGACCAGTTAACAGTGACCATCATAGTGTCTCCGTCGTTGCGACGGCAGCAGCCTCATAGTACATACATACGTACATCCATCCATCCTTGTACATGTGCTTGTATGTGTGTGTGCAGTTCTTGGCTAGGCGGTTGGCGGTTGGCAACCGCTACGTGTTGAATAGATAGGTAAGGTTTTGGGCACCGAGGCTGGGAAGTGGTTTATAGCAACTTGCAAGGCAGTTGCAGGGACGCTTTTGTGCAAACGAAGGGCCGGGTGCGGAGGGCGATGGAGTCCATTTGGGTTGTTGCTTGTGTGTTTGTATGTTTGTGTGTGTTCAGCTCGTGCATGTGCTCGTTGCGTAGTTGTGATGCGCCCCGGGCTAAGGGTGGGCCGCCGCCGCCGTCGTCGTCGTCGTGTTGATGGGCTGACAGGCATTAGGCCATTAGGCCAGAGGGCGTTGTGCAGTTGTGTTGGGTGTGGAGTGTGTGGGGATGGGATGGGTAAGGTGATTACTGTGGGGGGAAGACAATATCCATATCGGTACCGTCGTCATCGTTAGCACGGCAAAGGTAGCAGCAGCAGAGGCAGCAGCTGGTACTGTGGTTTCGGAGATAGGAGGCGGTTTTAGCAACCGCAACGGCAACCGCAGCATGCAGCAGCAACAGCAGGAAACGTGCGACAGTGTGGTGTGCTGTGGCCGTGGCCGCGCTGGTGTGCGTGCACGTATATCCGCGTCTGTGCGCTAGAAGCGAACATCGCATACTTCCGGATAGCAGGACTGATAGCGGGACTTATCTATATACACATATTTGTGTGTGTGCGTATGTGTGTATGTGTGTGTGTGTTTTGGCGGTACCTGCACACCTGCATTTTGGCTCTGGAGGGTTCTGCAGGTGGCAGAATTCGATGGCGGAAGTATGCTTGCGCGCGCGCGCGTGTGTGTGTGTGTGTGTATGTGTGTGTCTCTGTTTTAGCAAATAACGACTGGTATGCAGATAGAGTTTGACGGCCTTGCCGCCCGGGTTGGCTTAGGAGGCTGGCAACAGGTTTCAAGGTAAATAGTAGGCCTCTGGGCTGCCGGTCCAATCTGGTCCGTTCGCGGGGAGGAGCTAGCTGGGATGCGAGTTGTGAGGTAGGGGCCAGCAGCATGCCAGGTATGTGAAAGGTGATGCGCTTGCACAGCATAAACAGAGCGTGGTGATGAAGCTTGCAATTATTTGGCCAGGCAGGCAGCTGTAAGTTTACCGTAGTGTAGGGTTGTAGGACTTTTGGCGTCGTCATGTAAAAAGATGTTAGACGAGTTGGCTTACCTACATTTTGACGCCCGATGGAGAGGAGTGTTCAAATGGATCATAACGCACTGCTAGAGACGTCGATGATGCATTATTAGAAGAACAAGAACAAGGTAGGGGATGCAAATGAAGGCAGGCTGACGATGGTAGGTTTTGGTAGCTTGTGGGGGCCGTTCGATTGCCAACAGCCGATAACTCTTTTCCTTTTCCTTTAACTGTTTTTGATATCGCGAGTGAAAAACCAAACTATTTGATGAAGCTTTGCAAAAGTCACCCGCGATGCGGCGGCGTCCGGATGTTTTAGTTACAGCTAACGACCTGCGGGTGAAAAAAAAATGACCGCCTTTAGGCTCGTTAATAATCCGGTATGTGACGTAATAGCATGTGCGTTATTTTCTGACTCTCCTTTAAGCAGCCGTTCACTTTGACTTTTAAAAGATCAACTGCCGGCGCCCGTTCCTAAAACCTTGTGTTCCTTAGATGCATAAGGCACTGTGCAGTGCAGTGCAGCCGAGATGCAGGCGATTTGGAGGTTTACGCGCTGACGCCACCTTGCAGGTGTAAATGGAAACCGGCAATCGTAGTCGGGTAGCTTTAGAAAGGAAGGAAACCGACGGAAATTGAAAAGCCTTTTTTTGGGCATCGCAGCGCAGGGGAACAAATGCGGTCATAGTGGCGTTGAAGAATGAATATATTCACTCTCTTATCCCCTTACTAAACGTTTTTACATGCAGCAGAGCAAAACCACGTCTTGCGGACTATTACCACCCTAGAGTCTTTTCTTGTACATCTGCCCTATCCTCCGCAAGTTTTTTTCCAATTGTTTTAACTGTCCGTCGTACAACGCAAAGCAAAGGTAAACGATAGCCGTAGCGCTAACAAGCAACTGATGTTACGCCGGCTGGAAAAGAAACGCCGTCAGCGGGGCGCGGCATGGCAGTTGCACAGCATTGTGCAGGCGATACCGTATCTTCTCGCGGTTGCTTGGTTACCGGGTGGACACATTTTTATATGCTGTTGTATGTGGTGTGGCAATATAAAACGCCGTGACAAAGTGGCCGAGGGAAATAGGTGAAAAAGGCAGGCTGAACCTGCGAACAACGCGATGTCCTCTAATGTTGTAGGTTTCTGCGACAGCTGGTGCCGTACGGCCAGTTGCCGTCGGAGCTGCCTGCCTGCCTGCACTTGTCATGGGCGCAGCAGATGCTGTTCATGGCGATGCGACGATAGCGTTTTTATACGCTCATAGAAATAGCGAGTGCTCACGGAAAGTCCATAATGGAGGTGAAGGGCCCTCCAACATTGCGAGGTAGCCCCTCGCTACCAAGGTAGTCCCTCCTAGGCCCTCTGCACCTTCGCCGCGGCGCATTGCACAAAACTTAAAGGCGGAAATTAAGCGCACAGTTAAAGCAGCTGTCGATTGAGGAGGGGCAGAAGAAGCTGCGAGTTTTCGATAGAGGAAAATGTTGCAAACAGTTATTGATGACAGCTTTAACGTCCCCCACCGCGGCACTGCGCCGATAGAACACCAGTAAATTTTGTGCCAGAGTAACAATTATGTTTTCCCAGTCTCAATTTAAAGCCATTACGGCATTTGCAAGAGCTAGTTGCGGGAGTCGCTGTGGAAACTCGTGACATCTTCGATAGGAGTCCGAGACAACAGCAGCACGCAAGTTATCGGTTTCAACTTGATTGCATGGATTTCAAAGCTTAGAACACGAGCTGCTAAAGCCGCTTCGAAACTACTGTAAGCGTATGAAATGTCAGCAGCAGCCAAGCACCGCTGTCAATAGTTGAGCGGGGATCCTACGACCCATAGCATTTAACATGCCGAGGTTATTTGTTCGATGAAATATCTCTCAGAATTGGGTTGTCTCAGCTATCGCAACACGATGTTTGACGTTGCCTTATAGCAGAAGGCTTAAATTTTAACCCTTAAAACGGCGTAATGGCATATCTAATTAACAGCAACAGGTATACATGAGCATTTTATGTTGCTATGAACCACGCAACAGACATTTTCATTGAAAGCATCGTGCGCGACACAGTTGCCCGAAACAAGAGTTCCCGGAAACTAAAAAATAGGCCTTAGGATTATAATACACAGCCTTTTTAAGGAGGAAAATATGAAATATGATGATGAATATGCCGAGATGTCAATTTTTGTAGGAGTACGATATCTGGTTATGTACCGCCTACCACACCCCTGGAGGAGCTCTTCATAGGGTATGCATAGTCAGTCAAATGCAGCGGATGGCAGCTATACGATGGGACGGACAATTTTTGCGCCTTTTCCTATAGAAGACGAAGCGTCCATCACACAATCCGATGTGACACGCTAGAGGTTAGACTCAAGTTACAATAAATACTCTGTCAATACAAAGTAATTTGCAAACATACTTTCTACCACGATGACCGAACAAGGCGATGAGGCTTCCTTAGCCAACGCTGCTAACTGGCTACGCCTTATCTTTCATTCGCTGACTTGCAACAATCCGGGTTGCGTCCTGGGCGAGCGTTGCTCGGGAGGAAAAGCGTTAATATCGCATGTGCTTACTTGCTCAAGTTCGGGTGCTTGCATGGTGCCTTCATGCGCTTCTGTCCGACGCCTAATCTTGCACTGGCTGAGATGCCAGGTGGGATGAAAGCATTGAGGAGATAAATCACTGATTTCTAAGTAACTTTGTGCGAAGCACCCTCGCCCGAATGCAACTCAACAGCACGCCTGCCTCGGATGGTGGTTGTCTCGCGCTGTCTTGTTGACTACAGGACACGCATTGTCGACTTTGTGCTGCTGTCTGGAGAGATCTTTCCGGACATTATGAAGTAAATCAGCAGCGCGGGTTTTCCCCGCGCACGGAACGGCAAATGGAACCCTTGCCACCAGAAGCGCCTGGAACACCAGACCGAACCGGCGCTGTTCTGCTTCCTTCTTCAAATTCAATCGAACGTGAAGATGACGCAAATGCAACTGGCGATGGCGTTGCGGCGTTCGGCAGACGCCGAGACGAGCACGCGGCGGGTAAGTTGGCGTCCATAAACCAGCGGAAACTCGCCATCGCTACGGGCTCAAGAATGAGCATAAAAAATAATTAGTCCTATTGGAATAATATTTGCATTTTTTATTGCCTGAATGCTTTGGCGCCACCGGACAGATGAATGTGAGGTTGTTCCTATTTTGCCCGCTGACCTTGACATTCCTTCAGCCTCCGTGCGACTTACATGACGAGTATATCTAGTAGGTAATCTGGCCATCAATATACACTGTGTCATTAAGCAGGATTCATATTCGGTGCAGGAGCCTGTCTTGGCTAAGGGCGCAATTGCGCAGGCACAGCCCGCTCGGCTCCAAACATTGCTACAGGATCTTACTGTTTCTGCGTGAAGAAAAAATCGATTTAAATATACCTATGTTTTTAAATTGTTGGTTTTGCTGGCCATCTGACACCGGCTAGCCGCGGAAAGTTTTTGCCCGCGCCTATCCAGCGGCGCCCGCCCTGTAGTGCCCTTCCTCCAAAGCGTGTGCCTTGATTAGGACCTGGCACAGGGGTAGCAGAAGCCTTTCCGTTGAAAAATTCTAATGTCCTAAAAAAGATCAAGTTTCTGGTAGTGTCAGGACGACCAAGGGAGAAGACAACACGGAAGCACGGTCTAGCATGCTTTCGGGCGGGCCCCCGACCAGCCCCCGCCTTCAACCCTCCGCTCACTCCTCCCCTCCAGGCCCTGCCACACACCTTTTCCAATTGTTTAATTTCTCGCTCGTATCGAACCCACCACCTAATGGCAGCAATTTTACAATGCGCAAAAGCATATGAAGGAAAACCCCCTCCGCAATCCGGAAGGGGCCTTTGCAGATGCCCTTTGGCTTGACATGTACTTTCTCCCGTACCAGTCCTCATCCACTCCCCATGCATGCTCGGGGCGCTGCGAAACAAACACCCACCCGCACCCACTCGCACTCGCCCACACGCACACACATTCACCCACTTTATCTTTACAAAGCCACCCATCCCCCCCGGCTTCAATTCCTGCTGAGCAGCACATCCGATAGCGGTTGCTTCCCGCGTTGCTCCCTTGCATGTACATTTGCCCGATCCCTGTACGACCATGCACGACAGATGTACGAATCGCGGAGTTGGGTATCGGTCACAATAATCCCCCAGCACAAGTCACGGATCGGGCAGTCATCCAGTTACAGGTGCGGTTGGTAACCCCTCCATCTTCCCTTTGTCCCCCATGAGTAAAAGTTTTAATTAGATGCAGTTTTTACCTGTCAACGATTTGCCGTCGTTAACCTAAACACGTCCTAATTAGGACTTAACACTAAGATCTAATGATTTAAATACGTCTATATGCCTCCGTTTTGGACGAACGAATTGAATGAGATTAATTTACTTTTATCCTCTTGTTTTTAATATGCATCTGCAGGAGGCAACATCGTACATGCGGTACCTGTTGTACTGCTTGATGTGTCGTCAAGCGAGGGTACGGTTGAGGGTGCGGGAGGCAGATGAGGGACACGTGCGTTGTGCGCACTGCCTTCAGTTGGTTCCCGTACACACTGAACAGTGGTCATAGGTATACCGCCTACCCTTAAAGCTTAGGGGTAAGAGGCCACCATGCCAAACCCCTTCCACCCTCCCTCCCTCCCTTCCTTCCTCCCTCCCTCCCTCCCTCCCTTCCTTCCTCCCTTCCTTCCTTCCTTCCTCCCTCCCTCCCTCCCTCCCTTCCTCCCTCCCTCCCTTCCTCCCTTCCTCTGCGACTCCTGCTTGGTTACTTGTCGGCCTTCCTTGTCGCGTGCGTACACATGCGGCCACATGCCATGTCTAATGCCATGCCTTAATGCAAAAGATGTATCACATATACATTTTTCATTACCCGCACGTATTATTTTTGGTTTCAATCCTCAACCCCCAACACATGCACGCCGACAGTCACGTTGTTCCGTACATGGATTAAATTATCTGCCGTACGCCTGTGGCCGCGTGAATGAATGGTTGAATAAACAACTGAACATCGTGATATGCTCAGGTGATGAACCCCAGACGGATCTTCACCGGCTTCTATGCATCACTTTCCGTTCATGTAAACCTTGTAAAGAGGAAAGCGAAGACAGTCTATAACCTTTCTATCATGTCTATTCTAGGACCTATTCTATCACCTATGCTTACTGACGGCGACACTGTGCCGTACATGTACTGCATTGCGGTGCAGGACACGGCCGCTAGAGCTCCCGGCCTTCATTTCTGGCTGAACATGGCGATGCCACCACAAGCAACAGGGCACGTCACCGCGGCGGTGGTGGCGGCGGCGGCGCCGCCGGCGGTGGCGGTGGCGGTGGCGGCCATACGGCCCCCGACGGCGACGGCTGCATTGCGGATGGCCCTTCCCTCCGCAGGTCGTCGGCTGCTGTGCCACCGCCTCATGTGCCGGGTGGGTGTCCGGAGGTAGTGTGTGTGTATGTGTGTATGTGTGTATGTGTGTATGTGTGTATGTGTGTATGTGTGTATGTGTGTATGTGTGTATGTGTGTATGTGTGTATGTGTGTATGTGTGTATGTGTGTATGTGTGTATGTGTGTATGTGTATTTGTGTATGTGTGTATGTGTGCGCTGTTGTGGGTGTGGGCATCCGATCCCAAGGATCAAGCTGTTCTTCCCTCAGCTGCGCGGGGGAGTGCCGCCCGTACCTTCCCCTCCCGTCAAACCTATCCCGTCAAACCTATGATGGTGGTGGTGGGTCTCAAGGGCCGCATAGGGCCTCTTAGTGTCAGCACCGATCGTATAAGCCCCCGGGCCCGGGCCCGATCGTATCAGCCCCGCCTCTCATCAAGCCTAAACGATGCAAAACAATCAATTATATTGTAGCCCTGCTAATGTTTCATAACCCTAGTTTTTCGTGCTTTTTTTCGGCTTTGTTTTTTATCATCCTTTTGCCCGCCGATACCCTTTTGCAGAATCCCCTCTGCGCCTTGTGCTCGGGCACATGCGAGCTGTTTACGCGGGGTCAAGGTCTACGGCGGGAGCTGCCCGTACCCAGCGGTCTGTACGACATGGATGTCATCGTCCATGTGAGTTTGAGTGAAGAGCACCTGCCGTCGGCACAGGCGAGAATGTCGTACGAGACCCCTCGTGCACGTCTGAGTTCGTTTTGCCGTACGGGCATGTGGGTGTGTATCAACCTGCATATCATACGCGTGTTTGCTTCCCGCGTTAGTTTGCAGGAAGGCATCTCATGTTGTGTACGCCGGCGTGTCTTGAGTAACGTTCTCGCGATTTGTTTTAAAAAGTCCACAGATTGAACATATGATGATATAAACACAGATATAAAAGCACAGACACGAGAATGCGTCTCAATCCATACGCGGATGTGCGCAGTCATGGAGCGGGCGGGGATTGCGCTCGTGTGTGCTGGTGCGAAAACACAACCATCGACACATCCGTACAAAATGTGCGTCATAGAAACACTCAAAAGGTTTGCATTGTCAATTGCACTTTGAAGCTTTGGCCCCAGCCGTTATAATTTTTTTTCCTTCGAGCCTAATATAAAAAGTAAAACCCATTTTTGCTTTTTTCCAATTCGCCCCCGAAACCACACAGGAACTCAGCCTCGCTCTGGGCTCGGTCAACTTGTGATTTGAGCCCCTTGGCCAACCTGTACGGCAGCTCCGGCTGTGAAGCCGGTGCTGCTTGTACGCCTGCCAGTGTTAAGATGTTTGTGTGGGACGGTGGTGCTGCAGTACGACGGGCTGGGGTGCTGGGCGGAAGTCGTTTGGCATGCAGCGCCGCGTGGACCTCATCTTCCCCCCCTGGATCTATCTGCCGCCCCGGACAGCTCTCTCCACCACCACCGCCACCGCCGTCGAAGCCCGGGGCGAGTGTCTTCTGCCCCCTGCTGCTGCCAGGTCGTCACAGCTGTACATGGACGGACACAGCATGCTGCATGGTCTTCAACCCGCATCAGCCAAGCTCGTCTCCTGCTGACTTTATCTGGCAACCCTTCCCTCTATCTTTTCTCCCCTTTCCCCCGTTTCCATTTTCTCTCCATTTTCTCTCCTTCCTCGTCTTTTCTTTCCATCCGCTCCTCTCCTTCCTCCCTTCGGCCTCCCCGCCCCCCTCTTCTCCCCCTCCATCTTTCCCCTCCTCTACTTCTCCCTACCACAGCCTTATCTCCACCCTGCTCTCTGTATCGGGTCGTACTTTAATTCATCTATTCGTCCATCTGTCTTTCCGTCAGTTATCAGTCACGTCATGCTGTCTGTCTGTCTGTCTATCTGTCTGTCTGTCCAGCTGTTTAGTACCAAACACCATTCCCTAGATCATCTCCATTACCCGCGGTTCCGCTGCCGGCCAATACTATGTCCGTCTGTCAGCCTGTCTGTCCGTTTGTCTGCCCGCTTGTCTGTCCATTATGTCTCGGCGCTCTGGTAGCCGTTCGAGCTCATGTATGTATGTATGTATGCCCGTATGTACTGTCCGTTAATTATTCTTCAAGCCAGGCGGCCCCTCAAGCAGTGTCAACGGCTAGTGCCAGTTTTAGGCCGACCGACCCCTAAGGACATCAAATTCCCCGGCAAGCACAAAAACAGAGATGCGTGTTTGTGCTGAATAATGTCCAGTACTGGCTCACAGTGCTGAACCTCTGAGGCGCTGCCACTGCGTGCGGAAGGAACCAACAAAGACTATGTGTTGTGTTGTGTTGTGCTGTGCTGTGTTTTGCACATAATAGTTGGGGTGAGAGCCGATATTGTTGTGCTACTCGTGTGTGTGTGTGTCTCCGTGTGTCTGTGTGTACGGCAGCCAGTATGTGCTGGGCGTGTGGGAAGTGGAAAGCGGAAGCCACATTCAAGGGTCGGGCTAGCAGCTATTTCTGCAAGGATGGAAAAGCAGCCGCCATCATCTGTCGCTTTGAAAGGAATTAGCGACCAATCGATGTGGTGTGGTGTGGTGTGGTGTGGTGTGGTGTGGTGTGGTGTGGTGTGGTGTGGTGTGGTGTGGTGTGGTGTGGTGTGGTGTGGTGTGGTGTGGTGTGATGTGATGTGATGTGATGTGATGTGATGTGATGTGATGTGATGTGATGTGATGATCACATGTGACGTGATGTCACGGCCATGTGTGGCCGCATGTTCGTAAGCGACAGGGGGCGGTGCGGTGCGATGTTGCGACGCGATAGACAGCCGTTGAGAGATGTTTTGCCGGACAAATCCTGGACAGCTGGGCGACGGATATAGTGGCGACATACATGCATACATACAAACAAACAATACATACATACAAACCGGTAAGAGGGATGGTGCCGAGTGGAGGATACGGAGGAGAGGGTGGAGGAAAGGGTGCATGGATTGATGGATGCTGATGCAGATAGGAAGGTGGACATAGCCTGACGCTGACAGAGGGATTAATCCTTGTGGTTCTGCTGCTATGTGTGTATGGATGTGTGTATGGATATGCCTGATGCATTACCTAAGGTATCAACTAAGGTAACAAGCCAGCAGGGTACAGGGGGCTGCAGGTGCGTAGATGTGCACTTGATGGAGCATGGGGGGCATGCGCACAGGTCATACGTGTCAGCGTGTTTCGTGGTAGTGTGCGGGGTGGGGGGTGGGGTGGGGCGGTGGGGTGGGGGGGGTGGGGAGCTTCCCTGGATGGGCAGGTATGAGTGATAGATATTACAAGGGTAAATTCTCAAAGCGTTTACGGAAAAGGAGAGGATGGGAACAACAACAGGATTGCGCCGCCAGGATGTGACAAGCGTCATGTGCGCGAATGTATGTCAAGTGCATATGTGAAGGTGTATGTAGACGCGGAGAGAGCTTTGGCTGCTGCGCCTTGCTGCTGGACCTCGTAATACCCTCTGTTCCGAGAACGCGCAAATGTGTATCACGTGACAGCTTGATGATTGCTGTTTGACGATAACAATAATCTTTTTTATTGACAGCGCGTGTGCGCAGATAGGTTAACTTTATTCTGTTTTGCTTAACCTGCTGCGGACTTCTTACTACATGACATGCATGCATATGTACGTACAGTAGCACCCCCTGCCTGCGTGCGTTCGTACATACCACCCACATACCCACGTGCCGTACGTACGTAGCGTGGGTACGTACGTACCCACGTGCCGTACCCACGTGCCGTACCCACGTGCCGTACGTAGCGTGTCATGAGCCATCCGTGCACGCCCAGCACGTTTGGTGTACGGTATTACGTACGTGTACGGCATGTACGCGCATACGTGGGGCTTACTTGCTCGCTTGCATGTCGGCGGGTGTATATTGATGGCACGAGCGGTTGTGCACACCAACTTTACTTGTTTGCTCGTTTACGAAGCGCCCCTGGGCTCTGGGATTTCCAGGTGGGTGAGGCGCCGCGTCGATTCATTAATCGCTGTTGATGTCTTTTAAGCTTTTTAACTAATCACGTCATGGCTTTACGTACACATTCACTGTCTAGTGTGCTAGTGATAATTGTTTGGCGGTTTGGCGGGATGCATGGCATAACTGGCTGACTGGGCATATTTGAATTGAATTCAATTGTTACAGGGTGGGAGGCTTCTGGGCCATTTGAACACATTGGCATATGCACACACGCGTATGTGTATGTGTTGTACGTTGGCACGTGTCGTACTGCTTTTGGGGAAATATGGCTTTTTGTACTATCCACGACGAAATGGCTCGTGTACTTTTGATTACCCACATCTACCTTTGTGCCTTCTGCGCACTCTGCCGATAGATTAACTTGTGTATAACTATGCATGTATGTATGTATGTGTGTACCGGTTAGCTATTACCGTCTCTCTGCACAAATTTGTGCTGGAGTGTGGTTTTGGTTTATGGAGAGACAAGGCCACATCTATCTGCCTATCCCCAGGTCAAAAGGAGCGGCCACAGCCGTCGTCTTCCCTTGTACGTGTAATAGCCCTTTGTAGTGTTGAAGATGCGTCGTTGATCTCGATGTGGGTGGGGTCTTGTCGGGGGTTGTCGGCAGCGGGGGGCCCCCCGCAGCAGTTGGGTTATACCGGAGGGGAATGACGACAGAGAGAGGGAGCGCGAGAATGCGAACGTTTTTACTGAAATTTGTCAATATAACCGTTGGTAAACTCAAAATGGCTGATGCCATTATCACTTACAGACATACAGGACCGTTGGATGCCGGTGCTGGGTACGGAACCTGAGCAATCCACTGAGAAGTTGACTAGGGTGACTGGATGAGGGTGCCCTGAAATACCGGGGAAGGCAGGGTTTCGCAGGGTAGCTGCCACGGGTGAAGATGTGACACACCCCTGTTTCACACATCCTACATGAGTAGTCACGTCGTGTGCGGACGTGTGCTGGGGTGAGGAGGTTGGCTAGCTTGCTGTACATTGTAATTGTATTGCCGATATGCGCGATGATAATGAGCGAGCGCACTTCTCAATACCAAGTGTAGAGTTAGAAGAGACGCGAATGTTTGTGCGTCATCAGTCAGGGGTTACTACTGCATGCCCGCTCTCTGGAAGAAAGGGCACCTCTTTCGTCTTTCTCCTCCTACTACTATTACTACTACTACTACACTACTACATATACCGCCTCCTTTTCAATCCTCCTAGTCGGACGAGGGCTGTACTGACGCGGACTTTAGATGTCGTACATTAGTACGGCATACCGTTATTCACAACGATATTCACAAACATACATGTAGGTTCTAGCTACATCAAGGATAAAAGTAATGCTTTCAGCACCTAGGTGGGGAAACGTTTTTTCAACTGCAGCAGCAGCCAGCGACACCAATGACAAGGGACACGAGTGCTCCACAGCCACCCAACAGTGCCCAGGCAGTGGCCATGATCCTAAAGAGGGTCGGATGGCAGATATGGGGGCGCCGCCACAGCAACCCTCCCGCTGACACACCCTTCAGTCCGCCTCGCTACACAGCTACACAGCTACACAGCTGCCTAGCTACACAGCTAAACAGCTGCGCAATGTGGGGCCGCCTGATGGCAGCCTTCGTACAAGAGGCGCTGGACTTGCCGGAACCGCCGGCACCATCGCCGGCGGAAACTAGAGCCGCTTCAGGGCAACACAGCCCGCCGGGGGTCCTCCGGGGTGCGGTGGGACAATGGGAAGAACAAAGAAACGCTGTGGCGGCTGGCCGTGGACGGCATCCCCCTGCCCGGTGACACGCACAACAACACGCGCGCATGAGGCCCGAGCGGTGCGGGTGCGGAGGATTCGGCAATGCCACAAACCAGGGCCACACATGCACCATTTCTGGAAGTGCCCAGCCGCACAAGCCGTTCGGGAACAAGTCAACTGTCACCTACAGCCCTCCCAGGAGGCAGAGGGACAGGCGGCATCACCCAGACGCAGCTGTAGTCCTGGGTCCAGACCCCCACCGGCTGTGAACAGCCCCCCTGGGGACGTAATCATCATCGCCCTGGCGGCCCTGTTTGCCATGGAGGTAGGCAGGTGGGGGGAGGAGGGGTAAAGCGAGCACCAAGGGAATGTAGGGTTGAGGAGTGGTTGGAGTCGGCAGGTGGCTGCCGTGAGGGCGCGGATGAGGTGCCCAGGAGGGGCCGTACTTCTAAGTTCGTGCGTGCTGCAGGGCTGCTGATTCCTCTCGAGGTACGAGATTCAAGGGTCCTCGTGCTGCCGGGCGTGGTGAGTTGGGGCCTTGAGAGCTAGCCGTCTTCGTAGGGCGGTAAGGAGGGAGGGGGCGGCGCTGAGCTGGCTACCCTCCCCCCGCCCTGCGGTTTCTTTCGGAGGCCTGGTCGCCGGTCGCAATGGCGTGCTGCACACACAATTGCATAAATACACACCCGCCAGTCGACCCCGTGCGAGTACGCGTTGTGGAGCTCTTGGGGCAAGTAGTTTGTTCGCTCGTAGATGTAAGGTGTCTGTGTGTGCGTGTATGTGTATATTTTTAATGGTCTGAACCGCGATGATGTATGTATGTATGTATGAATGCGTATCTCTACCTGTATGTTTCGCGCCTGCACCGCATACGCCTGTGTCTTTATCGGTAAGGAGCCGTGAACCAACAACAAGATTAGATAACGCGTCGTGTTGTCGCCCTTTCCTTGCCCCCCCCCTTGCTTAGTCGCAGCTTAGTGACATACATACATACATATACACGCATATCCTGAAGCATCCCTCCTCCGCCTTGGTTGTCCCTGTTTCGTTTGTACGTCTGTGCACCCGGCATCTTCAGCCAACTTCACGATGCTGTCCTTTTGCGGGTGAAGGGTTTCCTGTCCTTCCTGTCTCTAATGACAATGACGATGGCGACTAAGTCCCTGTCCCCTGTCTCACAGGTGTCTCTCTGTCCGCCGCCGGGGGACTCGAACCCTAAGTAAGTTCTCAACGCGCTGTCTATTTGCCCCTCTGCCGGTTTGGCTCTGTCTGTCTGTCTCTCTGTCTGTTTGTTGGTCTGTGTTCGCAGGCGCCATGAGGATATCACTCACACTCACACATACACCCATGGCCTGGAGTCCAACAGCAACCACTCGCAACCCCCCAGATATCCGCCCCGCTTCCCCCCCGCCCTCACCCTTTCACCCCTCACCCTTTCACCCCTCACCCTTTCACCCCTCACCCTTTCACCCCTCACCCTTTCACCCCTCACCCTTTCACCACCACCACCACTACTACTACCACTACTACTACTACCACCACCACCACTACTACTACTACCACCTGCCACTGAGGGGAGTACTGTCGCCGGTCGTCGGGGGGGGGGGAAGGGGGAGAGAAGAGGTGACGGGGGAGAGGTGGGGAACCACCACCACCATCGCGACCACCTCCAGCAACCCCGTGCGTGTGTATGCATATGTATGTACGTATGCATGTGTGTCCGTGCCAACGCAATTTAACCAAACACATACGTACACACATACACGGAATTAAATCATCTGACAGCGGCATGATCCAACAGTTCGATTCCCTCCGGCGAAAGCCTAGGAGTACTACTAGATTACAACACCCCCCAAACACACACACACACACGCACACATACCTCGCTCCCTCGGGCTCTCTCACTCCCCTCTACCTCACATGCCTCTCCCCCGTCACTCTTACATCTCTTTTTCTCTCTCTCCCTCTCCCTCTTTCCCCCCCCGGCTACCGCCGCATGTGCGCCCCCCGGCCCCCCCCGGCCGCCAGCCGCCCCGGCTTGGCCATGATGTCCTTGCACTTGGGGATGTGACGTTCCGCTGCGAGTTCCGCAAACTTGCGACCGCAATGGGGGCACAGGATGCGGTCGTCGGGGACTGAGGGGCCCGAGTCGAACTTGATGTCCTGCTCGGGATGTGCGTGTACGTATAGGCGTGTAGGTGTGTGTATGTATGTCTGTATGACTTAGATTACACTCTGTGGGCCGCGAGAGCCGGGGGCCGAAGCCGAAACACAGCGCAAGGGTCGGGAGCACACAGCACAAGTCGCGGTTAGTCTTTGTGTGCTCCCGACCCCGACTCAGACTGCCAACACTCTACGCAGCCATTCCGCAGTCCCTCCATACTGGGATGGAATGTATGTATGTATGTATGCAATGGAGCTTAAGGTGGAGTGGGAGGTGGAGAGACACGGGACTGGGCTTTTCAAACCGGAGGAGGAGGAAAGGGAAAGGAGGAGGAGGAAAAAACACGAACCACGAACGAGTAAAGCTGCTGCCAAGGAAAGAGCAGGAGGAGGAAGGGGGGGGGGAAAGGACAGGGTGAAAATTGAAACAAGGCTGCAACGTGCATACAAACACACATTACGCAGACATACACACACTCGACACTTACGCAAACACCCACGTGCACACAAACAGACAGACAGGTCAACAGGCAGACAGATAAACAGACAGACGAATAAACCCGCTAGCAACCCCTCTGGGATGGGGGTTATTCCTCCCCCCCAATACCGCCCCAGACCCCCAAGCAGTCCACACACCTTTATGTCGACCCCCCGAGCCTTCGCGTCCGCAATCTTCTTGTTTGCCGCCATGGCCGCCCTCAACTGCTGGGACTGGGCCTTCCATTTCGGCACCTGGAGGGATGTGGGGTTGTGCGTGTGTGCGCGTGTGTCTGTGTGTGTTTGTGGACACACACATTTACCCCCTCCCCCAAAACACACGCACATACAATACATACATACATACATACATACATACATACATACATACATACATACATACATACATACATACATACATACATACATACATACAGATGCACACCCCGAATGCTCGCATGCGCCATCTTCGAGGCCGCTTCCCTCCCGCACAAACCAGCAATCAATCAATCAATCAATCAATCAATCTGAGCCCGCGCCCACCCAGCCCGTTTCCCCTCCTTCCCAACCCAGCCCAGCCCCCTCACACACACCTTTGAACCAGGAAGAGGTCGGTCATCAAGTCCACCACCACCGCGGCCAGCTCCAGCACCACCACCACCCCGACCGGCCGCTGCTCTCCCCCCGCCCGCACCTCCCGCCCCGGCTGCTGCTACCTGTTTCGCCTCCGACTTGGGCAGCCCCTTCCGGAGGTCGAAGAACTTGACTGCCTCCGAGCCTGCAGGGGGGCGGGCGTAGGCCGCGGGGGGGGGGGCGGGAGGGGCCGGGGCCGGGTGGGGGAGGGGCCGCGGGGGGAAAGACGAACCACAAACGAATGAAGCTGCTGCCAGGGCAAGAGTGTACCAGAGTGTACCGCGGGGGGGGGACCCGGGAGGGGGACGGCCGGGGGGAAGACGGTCGGAGAAGAGAGGAGGGGGAAGGGGGAAGGGGGGGAAAAGACAGTTCTAGGGTTTCAAAGGAGGGATGAGTTTGATGTCGTGGGGGATGTGGATGGGAACCATGTGCGAGAAAACACGGGGGGGGGAAAGAGGAGAGAAAGGGGAGGTCTTCTAAGTACGCTGCTAGCCTCAGGTAGATTACGTAAAGCAACGTTTCTCCCCCACCTCCTGCTCACCCCCCTACCATCTCCTCCTCCCCCCCCCATCTCCAGCTCAACCCCCTCCATCACCCCTCACCTTCCCCACCCTTTTCCCCCCCACCCCAGCTCACCTTCCAGCCTCTTAGCAGCCATGTTGACGGGTTTCCGCTTCGTGGCGAATACCTTCTCACAAACCTGCGCCGGTGCAGGGGCGCAGGGGTGCAGGGGTGCAGGTCACGGAGGGGAATGTGGTGTGGAAGTCGTGTGCCGCGATAGCTGGGGTGGGGGTGAGGAAGATGAGCGACCGCTGGTTGCGTGCGTATACGCGTATGTGTATGTGTTAAATTAAGTGTACGGAGT